CAGCAGCCTGTGATCTTCCAGGACTCGGCATCATTTTCTATGGCTGCGTGAGTGTAAAGAGGGACTTAGGGACTAGTATCAGATTTACGGATTTGAGTTGGGTTGGGCTGTGATGCTTTCTTGTTATATAATTACATCTTTTCGAAAAAGGATCACTTCTTGATAAAGCTCTTTCTTGCACATATGACTGTCACTGGAGTTGTTTCTCTAGTCAACCCAGCTTAACACAAGGGACATATTACGCAACTTAGGAATTATTATTCCTTTTATTTGATAGCCTAAAATGAGAAAGGGAGAGCTAGAGAGAGGAAGAGAGAGAGACGGACGTGCGGCCATGCTAGAAGGTGAACACAGTCAGAGAAGGAGCGAACAAAGGAATCCCTTGCTAATAAACTTGTGGGGCAGAAATAGATCATTATGTCCAAAGGGAGCCCGTGCTCACCCCCTTTGGCTGTGGCATCAGCAGGCCGGTGAAGGGAGGGGGAAGGTTTCGGTGAGGCTTATTCTGAAGATGAGGTGTCACTTTACGCTGGGGGGTACGGAGGAGGGGTTAGAGATGTTGGCTGTGGCCTGAGAACCGCCCCTTCACTCAGACGGACCTTATAGGAATACGTATGAATTTTTGTATAAAAGGGGGAAATTCTACTTAATTCCAACTCAGAAGTCCTTCAGCTAAAAGAAAAGAGTACTCTATTTCGTTCCAGCTTTTAAACATGTATGTTCTGGACATCCTCACTGTAAAAATAAACAAAGCAAGCCTGTATATTATATTTGTTAACCAAAGGCTATCATTCTTACATAACCGAAGTATAATCAGAAATTCGGATTTAAGAATTATGTAATTTTTTTTTTTTGCTTAACAAATTTTGGCTGGTCTTCTTTCTTTTTAAATTTGTGTCATGGGCATAAGCATTGACATAATATTTTATTATAAAAAGTTAAGCAATCAGCATAGACGATTATATCATGACGACAAATACAATATCCACAAAGTGAAATATAATGCAGCCATCAAAAATAACCATTAGAAATAATTATGATGAGAAAACTGTCAAAATGCAATGGTTCAAAAAAAGCCAGAAAACCAAACACAATGGATTTATAGTTAAAATGTACATACAAGGCAAAAGACCAGAAGAAAATTACACCAACCTGTTAGCAATGAGGAATGTATATGTCACATATTTCCTTTTTATGATTCTTAGTTTCTAAATCAAGGTGTTTTACAATGAGTGACTATTACTTCTATACCCAGGAAATGAGTAAACATTTGGAAACATGAAACCACATTGAAAAATAGATGCAAGTAAACAAAAGGTTGAAACAGGAGGAAAACAGAAAGCAGAACGACAATGGATGCGCGAACAACAGAGGGAGGGTGACTGAGGCAATGCTAGGCTGGCATGTGGAAAATGCCAGCAAGTGCTGAGGAGACTCAATTTAGCAAAAGGGTTGCATTTGATTTATAGTGGCTGGTGTCTTGAGTCCGTAAGCGATTTTTCAAGAATCCCAATTGGACGTGCTCTGGATTATACTGAGAAGCCATCCCAGAATGAAGATAGATCACCCTTGGGTGGAGCCGGAGGTGTTGCAGTGGGGCATTCCTCCTTTGACATGAGTATCAATCACAGGGAACTTCTGCTTTCCAGGGGAGCAGGCTCGTCCCCATTGTGCCAGGCCATAAAGGAAAATAAAACTGCAGCTGTGTGAGCTATGCAAATGATCCTGCCATGAAAGAAAGAGGTGACAGGATGCAAGCGGCTTGCTCTCTCAGCCTAAATATCTACACCACACAAAGCCTCTCCAAACCAGAGCAGTGACTATGGACAGATAGAATCAAATGTTTTCTTGGGGCTGGGGGTGGGGGTGGGGGGGCAGACAAGATGGCAAGGCTCATGTAAGCCCCATGTGTTCAACCATCTCCTGGATACTCAGTGTAATGCATTTCAAGTGGCATCTCAGAAAGTGAGCTCGCTGTCCTCCTCCCCATTGCCCCTTCTCTGCCTCACTTCTGTTAGCAACACCTCCGCTCTCCCAATTCCCCACACAGACACTTAGAGCTCCGCCCTCCCAGCCTGCTCTCACACACTCCTGCCATCAGTCAACACATCTGGGACAAATATTGCTCTGCAACATTTCACAGATCTGTTTCTTCACTTCTGATTCATTGCCGTTGACCTAATTTAGGATTTCATTCTCTCTCTTGTGGGCTCCACAAATCACCTCTTTAATGTTCCTACTTGAATCCTTTTGATATACTCAGTTGGTCAAGGGAAAATTCTTGCTTAAAATAAAATAACTGGACCTTTTCTTTCTTTGAATGAAGGCAGTACTTTTCTGTCATTTCTGTTTGTGTAAATGCTGCATTCCACACTAGACTGTAAGCATCTAAGGGCAGGGCATATTGAATTATCTTTCCATCCTTTACAATGCCATGTGTATATTTGTTGTTTTATTTACATATATTTAGAAGTTTATATCTACTTAGAAGTTAAAAAAATCTTCATTTCATTCAATAGATGACTGTTGATATTTAATTATTGATTTAGTTTTGCTTTCTTCTTACCATGGGATAAAGAAATCCCTACTCAAAGCATCTTTACTATTAACAGCAGGTCATTTCTGACTCATAGCTACCTGACAGGACAGAGCAGAATTGCTCCACAGGGTTTCTCAGGCCGTAATCATTAGGGAAGCAGATGGCCACATCTCCTTCCTGCAGAGCAGCTGTTGAGTTCAAACCACCCATCAGTCAGTTAGCAGCCTAGCACTTTCCCACTTTGCTACCTGGGTTCCTTAAAGCATCTTTAGGGAGATAAGTGAGAGTGGTACTGTTTCTCATAACCCTAAAACTCCACCTCCTGGGCACGTGTTTTTCCCCAAGTCAGCAATCAGTGACAGAACTACATCAGTGCGAATCCATCCAAAACCAGACGGAGATTTTCATAGCTCTGAACATTGTCTCCCAGTTGAACTTCAAAAACATTAGAATAATACAGTTTGTTTTAGGTATAGTATCAAAGATAACGAGGCGTATTGGAAAGAATGGTGGTGAACAGAGTAACCCTCCCCCCACAGTGCTTTTTTTCTGGTCAGATAATGAACATGGCTATGGATTGGGCCTTGTCCTGGGTAGGAGGAGAGGGATGACTAACATGTGACCTAGGATGAGATGTGCTGTTGAGGTATAGGAAAACACCCTCAACAGCTATTTTGTCCTTCTGTAAATTGCACATAACTAGTAGCAAAGCCTAAACATGCTGTGTCTATGGGCGTGCAAGTGAATTATGTCCAGCGTTTATTTGTGTGTGTGTGTGTGGTGGTGGTGATGGTGGGGGTAGTAAAAATTCCACTGCCATTAAGTTGACTCATAGTGAACAGAACATCGACAAAAACAACACTGAGCTCCACTCGCATCCTTAAGTCAATATTCCTGATCAATACGTGTGTGTTGTTTGGATTTTCCTTTGATCTGGTTGAAGTAGTTAACTAGTTTCCTCACGGAAGACTTTAAAAATCTTTAACATGCTTATTTTTATATCTGTATGTGTGTCATGATTTTAACCACCTTTACAACTTATCATTGTGATGATTTAAGATTTTAATATTAACTTTGAATTAGCTACCATTTAGTGACTCATTATATGAGCCCTGACCCGAGTCTTTGCCTCCCAGACTTTCAGACGAGTATCAAGAAGCTTTTGAGGTAGTCTTCCAACCTTGCACAGGAATTTTCCAAAGGCGTTCTGGTGGAAGCCCCATTCAGAAGCCCAAAGATTAATCTTGATCATAGAGTAAGTCTAGATTTACTAGATTTGGTTAGGTTATTTACATAGGTGCAGTAAGAATGCTAAATTTACCATGAAAGTCCTCTTTTGCTTGTTCTGCTAGAAGTTTTCATTTAAAAAAAATCTCAAGTTGGGCTTTTAAGGGCTTCCCTTATTTGCTGTTCTGAGGCTAGGAAGTTGATACCTAGAAGTTCTCTCTACCAGATTTGACATGCAGTATCCCATACCTATCGGGAAAATGTATCTCCTGTTTAAGTTCTCAACACAGTGCAAGGTCACTAGCCCGCAGTGGGAGTGGCCTTCCTTACCACCTGTAAGACTAGACCTTGGACGCCAGTGACCAGCCCAGCTTTTCTGGAAGGACTTTTATCACATTGGATCCTCAAAATCAACCTTAGTTCCTGTGGGAGTGACATAATCTGTTGCTAATTTAAGACTTAGGAGTGAAGGGGTGGAGTCTAGCCTGTCAATCAGGTCACAACTTGATGACCTCATTTGGAGGTAAGATACATGTTCACTCCCTGGGAGACATTGCAGCTGACAAGACACATGGAGCTACGCTAGTGCCCTGAACTGGAGGAGCTACGTGGAAAACCCTTCTAGCACTGAGATGCTTACAATGCCACTGGATCCACAAGACCTCCCACCCACTGGCCTGTGATCTTCCTGCATTAGGTGTCATTGCATGTGTTTTGTGAGTCTGAAGAGGACTTTGTAGATTGGTATCTGACATATGGGCTAATATCAGACTTATGGACTTGATCTGGACTGGACTGGGATGTTTTCTCAATATTCAACTCCTCTTGTATATAAAGCTCTTTCTTTTTTTTTTTTTATAAAGCTCTTTCTTATACACATATGAGTGTCTATAAATTTGTTTCTCTAGTCTACTCAGACTAACACAGTTCCTTAAAAGTGAGTATTCAGGCCTGCATGAATACTTTACCACCACAACAACTGAAGGTGGAGAGAAGTCAGGAAGAGCAGGGTGGCTTCTTCCACATGAACGTGAACTCGTTGTAGGTGAGCCACATCCAAAGTACAGGCCACCAACCTCTGATTGTCAGAAATCATTTCCAAAAATGACCAAGGAACTTTGGTGAGATGCCCCTCCCAGAGAGAATCTTCAGAACGCTTCTAAAAGTATCCATCAGAATTGTAAAGCAAAAACAGGACTTATAAACCACCATTTCAACTTCAAGACATCAGAATTTTTATTTGAAGCCGTTTTCTACCACTGTTCCGGTTCTTGAATGGGGGCCGTCATGTATGATGACTGCTTTTGCATTCTGTGTAATGATCTTTACCTACTCCGAGAATCTTCTTACTGAATCTGTAGACTTTACGTCACTCACAAGAACATGACGACACAGCTACTGAGTTTCAAAGTCTAGACATTAAACAGTACATTTAGAACATGAAAAAAAGGGAGAAGGAAATATTACAAGTGCAATGGCAGTTAGGATCAACACTAGATTGCCCGGTTTACTGGAGACAAGTTCAAGAACCGTGTTGCAGGGATTGGCCCCTAGCGTTTGTGGTACAGCCTGGCATCTAGCTGTAGGAAATGAATTCAGGATCACTCCTGAATTATATCAAATATTCCTCTCAAGAAAAAAAAAAAAAGAAAGGCTTTAGCGAAACAAGTTATCTCTGAACATATCATTTTCTATGACATGCATATGATCGGTAGATGCATTGATGATCCAGAGGCCAGTTGGACTTAAGATGGAGATGTCTATGTATTCTGGGCTCTATCTATTTCAGAAGAGTAGCTCATCTTATCTTAGAAGCAAATTTATGCAATGGTTTTGGTTATGGCCCGTGGATGTACTTAATGGTGGTTATTACCCTTTCTCAGTTTGAAGAGGCAGACGCCTTCAGTATATTTGCAATTTAATGAAAAAAAAAACGGTGCCTTTTTCTGTGAGGTCCACAGTAACAAGGGGACGCATGTTGTGTTTCTTAAAGAAAATTTCTTCAAATCATTTCAGCCTCATAATCTACACGAAACATAGACTAGATAGCCTGGTTCTCCACACCACTTGATCAGGCCTGTCTGGCCTATGGGGGCATGTGTGGTAAAGATGACAGGGAATTTTCATTTAGAACTGGACCAAGAAATCCTCCAATTTATGAAAATCCTTTCCTATGGGTAAACTTTAGATAGCACAAAATTGTCACAGGCTGTTACATCAGCAAAGCCGTTCAGCTGTGTTGTCATCCTTCAGAAGCAGAAGAACCTAAAAAATGGGATGTTTGAACTTTGTGTCTGAAATGAAGGACATTAGAGGAGACAGAAAAAACAGTTTCACTCTGAACAGCTGATCTTTACGATTAGTAGACTGATTAGAGTGGGAACATGTTTTTAAAGCATTTTTTTCATCTCCTCTATAAAAAGCTGCTGTTCCTATTCGCAAGTTTTAATTCCTCGGCCTTGGGCAGCACAGTCCTTTGTAGCCTCTGTAGTCGGGATGCTCTGCTGAAGCTTGCTCACCTTGGTTGACCTTGTTGGTCTGTGAAATCCCAGTGACATAGCTTCCAGCATCACAGCAATATAAACGTCACCACAATATGCAAAACGGAAGTGAAAGGGTCGTGGGAAGGAGATGAGATGGGTTGGCACAGTAGCTGCAACACAACAACGCACGCACGACAACTTTTTGGATGGAGCAGGGCCGGGTGGTGCTTGGTTCCGTTGTATAAGGGGCCGCGATGAGTCGGAACCATCTCGAAGGCACCTGATAACAACAACAATATATAAAGAGCAAGACGTTACAAATGATAAATAGGAGAAAAATGATAAAAGCAAGGGATGGGAAGCTATTGGTTCAGAATTACATGGCTGAAGACAATAAAAATCATTCCCACCCCCCCACCCCAGAACAAAACCAAAAAACCCACCAAGCCTGTTGCTTCTGGTTCATGGTGGCTCCACATGGGAGAGAGTCAAATTGCTCCGTGGAGTTTTCTGGGCTGTGATCTTTATAGCGATGCATGGCTGGCTCTTTTGATATGCTAGGTGGGTTTGAACTGCCAGACTTTAGGGTAGTCGTCAAATGGGCACCACTTGCTTCACCCAGTATTGTTTAAAGAAGTATTTTGTGTGTGGGAACACTTCACAAAGGAAAACATTTACATAGCTAGTTCTTGATCTGGAACAATTGAATATAATAGCATGTAAAAATAGCATGCATGGGGGGCAAACAGAAGCAATGGCTGATGGTTACCATAAGCATCACTCTCAAATATGATAATTCAGACAAAGCTTTGGTTGCATAACCAGCTATTCCAATTGTGTGTTTTTGTTTTGTAGGAAGATGGGCGGATTTTTATTAAACCGATATGCAAAAAAGTGTAATTCCATGAAGAGTAAGAAGACTTACATAAGTTTTGGATTTGGGTAGGAAGAGGGCCACACAAGGAAAATAAAGTCTTATCTTAAAAATTTTAAGTTCAATTTACCAAGGCAGAATCTACTACATTATTGTGGACTACCGATAACTTAATAAGAAAGAGAAAGTGCTTTATTCTATGAGGGTAAGAACAACGTATGGCGTCTAAGGGGTTCAGTTCATCCACACATGGATTTATTCTAAAGAAAAGGTGCTTAAACATGTCTCTGGGATCAGTGGGTGGCTGCAGACAAGTTCTCTGCCTAACACACGTGTCACGGGCTCCTTAGGATTCCTTCAAAAGGAAAACCCAATAAAAACAGTGGCTTCTGAGGGGAATCTGTTGGGCAAGTTAAATTCAGGGCAAAGAGATTTAATAAAGGTATCTAGGATTTTGTACCCACATTAAAATAATATCAACACGCTATAAGGTGACCAGATTTAAAGCGGGACACCATTGACCGGGGGAGTTCTTGATTAAAAATTTGGTCTATATGGACCAAATGGACGGTTCCCAAAAATCGGGACTGTCCCAAAGGGGGACATCAGGCCACCTTACTCTTTCAAGCAAATGGCCTCAGTCAGCTCTCCCTGATATGTTCAGCCCCGTGCAGCTAATTCGTGTTCTACTGGAGCTTGGCTTAGGACTATCGCACTTCTTGGCTAAAAAGAGTTTTGGGAATCCTCACTCAGCCCCCTGGTATGGTCTTAAAGTTGTTTAAGTAACGACACCGGAAGCCTGAACCTAAGGCCTATCTTTATTGTGCTTGTGGTCAAAGTTTGCAGAGAAAATTAGATTCCTAAATAACAACTTCTCTACAGCTGATTCAGGGACCTTGGCTACATTTTCCCCAAATGATTCAGCGGCCTCATTATTTCCATTCTGATTTCTCTGATTCCATTAATCTAGCTTTCCTGCCCCTCACCCCACTTACCTTTTCACCTTTGCTGTTGGGTAAATGTTGACAGTTTGGTCTCTTAGAGATGGCTATTTAGAGGGAGCAGTCCTCACAGGTGATTTTGTTTATTTTATGAGCCAACTTTTTATTGGGCCGGAAGGTGACCTCTGGGAGTGACGTGTCAAAAGTTCTGAAATGCCTGGCACGGTCCTGCTCCACGGGCTGCACTTTGTTGACAGCAAGAACTCCGGTGTGGAGCCAACTGGAGAGAAGCCAGGAGGCAGTGAGACGATTCCAAAATATCTGTAGGCGTCACTAACTTGACATGGCTGTGATTGAATTTTTACGAGTAATTCTTTAAAGAGGAGAGGTCTGAGAATGTCCCCAAGGAGAAAAATACAATAAGGAAATGTTTTTGTGGTATGCAACACACAGCTAATAAACACACACACACACACACACACACACACACACACACACACACAGCTTTAGAGAAACTAAGCATCACGAACAGGGCCATTTTCAAAGAAGAAAGGGGATTTATAAATATGGATGAACAGAGTTTTTCTGGAGGAAAAATTCTGAAGATATGACATAAAATTCTTGATACATCATATACCAAACATATAACAAGCTTATAGGTAAGGCGCCCTCGTGGTACAGTGTTTAAGAGCTCAGCTTCAAACCTATGGTGAGCAGGTCCAACCCACTAGCAGATCCAGGGAGAAAAGACATGGTGGGCTGTTCTCCTAAAGACTTCAGTCTGGGAAACCAGATGGGGCAGTTCTATGCTATCCCACAGCGCCATACTTAGGGCTATAGGGCCCTTATGAGTTGGAATAGAATGGATGGCATGAAACAACGTAATGCACTATACGCAGTATTATTAATAATAGCAAAGAAACTTGGAATGGGTCCTGAGCATTTGTAATTTATTAAAATTCTACAGCTGAACTTTGGGTGCACTCTAACTGGCCTAGAAGAGGCTAGATGTAAAAATTTTAAATAAGGTTCCAATCAAGGAAACCTTCTAAACAGCAGTTAAAACGATGACCGCGAGTTGTTGCCTAACATCAGCCAAAGCAACATTAGGACTCTGCTAAACAGACACATTGACAAAACTCCAGGGACTTCCTATGAAACATTCAAGTTCTAAAATGTTTACATTAATCATAGTTAACCAATGCACATTGAGCTGAGGCGAGGATGGACATCTCTTTTAATTGAACAACTCTCCCCATGAAACTCATTAGTGATATAAATAAAACCTTTCTCTTGGTTTTACAAGATAATTCTTTTCATGAGGGAAATTTGGACAATGCTATGGAGTCCTCTGTAGGTCAGGGAATCGCCAGGTGCACTCTAAGCTGGTGTTTGTTCACTCACCCTTTGTCCTCTAGTGACTGAACAGGTGTTAGTACAATGGCACTTCTCTTTTTTTCTGACATCTCTAACCCTTTAACGAGGAAGAAGCAAAGCAGATTTTGTTATCTCCAGTTTTGCTGATTAGGAGTCTAAGTTAAAAAAAAAAAAAAAAAGCAATGGCGTCATTGGGCTAGTCAATGAAAAGCTCTCAAATCTGATGTGATCGTTCCTTCCTTCAAGGTTCCTCAAAGGTGCAGGAGCTGTGCGCTCCACCATTGACCCAAGGTTGGTGGGTGACTTAAACCCACTTAGTCGTGTGGGGAACTAAGACCTGAGACCTGCTGCCGCAAGCATCCCTATCAAACGGTGCAGCTGCAGTATCAGGTGCCCTCACAGGTTTCAGTGAGAGCGGATTGATTTTGTCTATGAGGCCAGATAAGTCATTTTGCCTGTGTCTTGCCTTCTTTGTCTGGGAAATGGGGATCCGATGATTACTTCATCACATTACCAGCCAGGACCAGATTCTAGTGAAAATGCTACAAAGGGTTAAGTCTTACATGACTACGGGGTAAATTGATCAGTTCCATTCTACAAAGGGTTAAGTCTTACATGACTACGGGGTGAATTGATC